TAGTCCGATCATGCTGGTTCGCGAACTCATTCAAGTTTATCCCGCCTTACACCTTTAAACAAAATTTTATCAAAATCGGACAAAAATTACTCAAGTTATCGTGCGGATGGACACACATATATATTTTAATTTAGGTGTTCACTTAATAGGGCTGCTGATATATTAACTATTTAAGTAAATAAGTACAACTGAGCACCCTGAATATTATATTTTATAAAAAGAAGTGACATGTTTCGGACATTAGTCCATTTTCAAACTTCAAAATACAGTAAACACTTAACTGTTGTTTATATTGTTTGTTTGTAAATAAATATGATTTATATATACAGATGGTTTATAGAACTAGACAGGATTTGGAAAAAACTTTTTTGTTACTGATTATTTAATTTTAAAATTTGGTCAAAGATTGAGTTTCTTGAAGGAATTTGGCTATTTAAAATATGATTTGGATTTTTTAGATTTTCTTCGTATATGAAATATTCTTCAGTTGAATCCATTCGATTTCCTTTGTTTAAAACTTTTAGAATTTTCATGTTGTTTTTTAAATTTGTGTAGTTGTGGTTGGTCGATAAAAGGTGTTCAGCAAAGTTTGATTTCATGGATGTTCTGTTGTTACTCTTAAGAGCTTGAATGTGCTCTTTGAATCTAGATTTAAAAGATGAGCGTCCTGTCTGACCAATGTAGAAGTGTTCACAATCAGTGCAGTCAATTTTGTAAATGCCAGATTTGTCATAGATGTCTTGATGTTCTTTATTTGTATTAATGTTATTTGCTATCATATTGAAAGCATTATTTTTTGTTTTAAAGCCAATTTTGTATTCAGAATGTTGAAAAGTTTTTCTTGTAGTCCTGTTAAGAGTTGTATTGAATGGGATACTAATGAATTTCTCTTTCTTCTTTCTTTCTTTGTTGTGTTCTTGATTTTGATTTTTCTTTCTTTTGATGTTTCTAATCATATTGTAGATAATGTTTTGCTTATATCCATTCCTTGATGCTAAGTATTTAATTTTGTTTAATTCTATCTCGTAATTTTTCTTTGTCATTGGAATGTTCAAAAGACGATTTAGCATGGCTATATATATCTATATATAGATATATAAAAATTTGAACAAATGGTGTTTTTGGCCTCTGGGGACATCAAAATGAAAAAGTAAATCGGTCCCAAGCTTAGGTCTTACTATGAGACCTACGGTAATAGCTACTTCCCTATAGGGAAATTCGCTAAAAGGGTTTATTTGTATGAAGGGTAATATAATAAATAAATACAAATGGAAAACATTATATTTTATTCAAAGAATATCTATCTACACCTTGTAATTAGAAAGGGGGGGCTCGTAGGGGGACGGCGATGGTCCCATCGAATTCCTCGCCTCAAAAATAGTAGGGCTACATGGTTTATACTGCTGTAGATACAAAACTGGAGAAAATTTTGAAAAAATTTCCCCGAACAGGGATAAATAACGCTTAAAAAATCCCACTCCCCAGAGCCATTTTTATACACCTACCTAGGCCTATTCTGACGAACGACGATCCTGCTCCTTCCTGGTCACCTGTTGACTGTTTTTTTTTCTGATTTTGACAGACTTTGGGATAGATGAAAATAAATTTAACACTACCAACCTTATCCTTGTTATTATGTTATCAAAAGCACTATATCCTGTACTAAATCAGATTTAATATTAAAGCTAGCTGTTACCCACGGGCTTCACCCCGTTTGACTTCATAAGTGAAACTATTGATTGGTTAAGTTAAGCTGAAATAAACAAAACAGAATACAGTAATACAAAAAAATAATCACCCCTGATTTTAATAAGGTAATAAAATAATAGAAAGAACAACATTCAAATAAGTAGTAAGTGTGTGCCCGTCACTAAACACAGAAGGAGTGAAAATGTCCCAATTGGGCAGAAGAGATTCAGCCAAACCCCGTCCACTCAAACTATAGCTTTCAGAACCGAAGCCGATAATCAAGATTTCTTCAGGCACTTTTCTAAGGACCTTCTCAGCTCTGATCCCAAATTATAAAGATATTTCTATCGAGCCCGACCGAACTCCATAGCAACGATCTCTTCTGAATAATTTGAAATCTGAACTCGAGCTAAGGAAGAATAATGGCAAGAAGAATATCACAATTAAGTTTATTAAAGGAATCCCAAAAATCATCAGCATACCCACTCCTTCAAAAAACGAGTAAAGTATGACACTCGTACTTCTTCGAGGTTGAGTGTCTACTTTCAAAATGTGAATGGCTTGCGGTCTAAGACTCAGAACCTTCGTCAAAAAGCCCCCTCTACCTCATACGATATCATATTGGCTGTTAAATCAATCCTTCAGGATGAAATTAGTGATGGCGAGCTTGGTTTCACAAATCACAACCTGTACAGATCCCTCTTTCAACAAGCAAAACATCTGGTGGTGGCATTCTCGTTGCAGTTAGGAAAGACCTCAAGTCATCAGTGATTAGTTTAGAGCGTGGCGAATTTGAGGCTCTTTTCCTCTCTATCGTCGTTGGGACTCGGCCTCTGCTGTTCTGTGTAGTGTAAGTTCCTTCCAAATAACCAGCCGCTACATATCTCAATTTTTCACATCTTGTAACAGCCACCTTGGTAAATTATGCAACTCACTCGTGCTTCATCTTAGGAGACTTCATAATGTCCCAGGGACTGAATGGACCACCCCCATCATTTGGGCTGGTTCCCCTGTTGCACAATAATGTCTTGTCAACCTCGCAGATATGTTTAACCTCAAGCAAATGAATAATATTTTAAACTCACGAGGTAAAACACTTGACCTCATCTTCACTTCAGACCATTCACTAAACACCATAAGATCTTTGGACCCGATTGTTGAGAAGGAACTTCATCACCCTGTCTCAACATTGTTATTGACTGTAACATACATAAATCGTCTGAGTCTGACTTGCCTTCCTTCATTCCTGATTTTCGCCGCTGCGACGTCAAAGCTGTTAGAAATGATCTTGCCGCTACAAACCTCTCCATGGACAAGTCGGTGACCGATGTGGATTTCAGGATTTCTTGTTTCAAGCTACAATTGAAAAACTTCAACACGTACTTAAGAATACACCTTTGAAACGCTTAGGACCAGCACGTTTTCCATCTTGGTTCTCGAGGGAACTTCAACATCTTACTATCGAGAAAAAAAATTGCTCACCACAACTTTTAAACTCCATGGTCAGTATCCCGATCTGGACAAATTCAGGACCTTGCGAAGAAGATGTTCTCTCCTTGCCACCAGATGCTACAATAACTACATCTCTCATCTAGACTCAACCTTCTCTAACAAACCAAGGCCCCTGTGGTGCCATATAAATAGGATGAAAAGGATCCAGACTGTCCCAACAAAGATAAAGTACAACGATATTGAAGCATCAGAGCCACTCGACATGTGCAATCTGCTCGCCATTATTTCTCAAGTGTTTTTGCACCCCGATCCAGAGTAATCTAGTTTTTGATGTCAACACCAGTTTAAACATCAGCTCCTTAATGATAAGTGAAAAGGATGTCCCCGCCGAACTTAAAAGTCTTAATGAATCCAAGAGCTGCGGTCCAGATAGTGTACATCCTTCTGTACTGAAGCATTGTGCTGACATCTTAGCACCAACATTAACTGTACTTTTCAACAAATCCCTGCAAGTCGGTATCTTCCCGGAAATATTTAAGCGGGGCTTCATAGTTCCAATTCCAAAGTCAAATGATCCTAGTGTAGCGACTAACCTACGTCCAGTGGTAACTTTGTCATCCCTCTCTAAAGTATTCGAAAAGTTGGTTCTCCTCCAACTTGTTCCTGCAACTAAACACATTTTCGCCTCCGAACAACATGGCTTCAGGGCAGGCTGTTCAACTATGACCAATCTGCTGACTCTTCAAACCAGAATATTGCATGCGTTTGAGAGAGGCAATCAGGTCGATGTCATATATCTAGACTATGCAAAAGCGTTCGACAAACTAAACCACTCAACGCTTCTTATTAAACTGAAGAGCTATGGAATCCTGGGAAATCTATTTAAATAACATTGGGTTTAATGAGGACCTAGGTTTACTGCTACAAGGAAACTAATATAGTGTATTTTTTAGTAAAATAATAATAGCTTAGTATAACATAAATAAATTTGACAAGTTTGATCAAAATATATCCATAAGCAAACTACAACATTTTATTTTACAATATTCTCCATAAGAATAACACGAAACAATACAAAAATATCCCCGCCGCAGCAAACCTGCCGTCTAAGCGAATTTCCATTTGGCCGAATTGATTTTCAATTGATCTATTTAAATAACATTAGGTTTAACGAGTACCTAGGTTTGCTGCTACAAGGAAACTAATAAAGTAGTGTGTTTTTAGTAAAATATTGATAGCTTACTATAAAATAAATAAATTTGCCAAGTTTGATCAAAATATATCCATAAACAAGCAACTACAACATTTTACAATATTCTCCATAAGAATAACATGTGAATTTTAAATTTACCATTTTTTTAGTTTTCTCCGTAACCAATAACCGTACAAAAACACTTTGATATACTGAATTGTTTGTTTTTTTAAGCTCTTTAAGAAGGTTTAGAGAAAAATTGGGAAATTTTGTGTTTTGAGGGTAAGAAGTGAGAAAAACCAATTTTTACCCCATAAAACCCCCCATAAAACCCTGTTCCCATGGTCCGATCATGCTGGATCGCGAACTCATTCAAGTTTATCCCGCCTTACACCTTCAAACCAAATTTCATCAAAATCGGATAAAAATTACTCAAGTTATCTTGTTCACGGACACATATATATATATATATACATATATAAAAATTTGAACGAATGGTGTTTTTGGCCTCTGGGGACATTAAAATGAAAAAGTAAATCGGTCCCGGGCCTAAGTCTTACCGTGAGACCTACGGTAATAGCTACTTCCCTATAGGGAAATTCGCTAAAAGTAAAAAACAATTAATTAGATTAGTTTATTCATTAAGGAAAATGAAGCAAAAGATGTCTAAAATGTATAAAAATATATTATTTCTAACATTTGTTTCCATACACGAACAAACCTCTAAAAATACTGTACAGATTGTCATAAGGTGATTCTAAGTCGTCAGCGTGATTTTGAGCGGCCCAGAACTATGTGTTGGTTGTAGTTCTGAAACATAAAAACAAATTTTAGTATTAAAATCAATGATACAATGTAGAACAAATTGTCAATTACCAATGTCTAGCTACTAAATATTAGATTTACCTTTGTTGTTGTAGCCTGGTTGAGTTATTGCAGGTAGATGTTTTGTCGCCCTATACATTACCACCTTGTAGGCCATTAGTCCAGTAAAATAAGACATTTTGGTATGCAAAAGGTCGGGTAGTTCTGATTTTTGGATATGTTGTTAGTATTGGGTCCATAACATAAAATCCAAGTTATCCACCTCGAGATACTGCAGCTCGCCGCGGGGCGCGCCACTTGTTATCGAAATATAAAAAATATGGCAATTCCTATTGTTTTTCACTCAATCTCGCGAACCGTTGATTTTACCAAAAATTTTATATTATTACATTAAAGAAGAATAAATTTGTGACAGTTTAAGCCCAACAGCAGGTATATAGCAGCGTAAATAATGGCTGAAATATAGAGATTCATATTAAATTCCATAACAAAATAAAATCAATTGGATTAATGTTATAGGTTGGTATACATGCAACTGATCAGCTGATCGTTACATATGACTTTAAATGAAAACAAATTTAGTCTATTGTGTTGGAAATCGAGTTATATTTTATATAGTACAAATTCAATAATGATCAACATCAAATATAATAATTTGTTAGTCTTTGTTTTTATGAACAGATGGTTTATTTTAATTTGTGTTAAGAATTTTAAAAGTGATCAAGAACATAACAATTTAGTTACAGTAAAGAGAAATGTTATGAAATATTTGTTCTTTATCAGAATTAAATCAGTTCTTTATTAGATAATATTTTGTAAAAGTTCTTTATTTCACACGAGTTCTAACATAGTGGCGACCGTGACACGATATTTTTATAGTTAAAATTCAGATTTAGGACTAAGCTTATATTTTACTTTACAATGGATAAGCTGAAGTCATTAAAGACAAAAAGGACTCAACTAAGAAGGACTTTTACAAAGTGTATTAATGAAATGGATAAATTACTGGCAGAGGATATTAAAGATGATGCAGCAATTAAAAGTAATCTAAACAAGTTGCAAGATAAAGCTGATAGGCTTTTTAAGCTAGATGAAGACATCGAGGAAGCCTTGTTTGAAGATCCTGCAACAACGGAAGAGGACTTAGAAGCTGAGTTTGATACTACAGAATCTTACAGAGACATGTTATCTTCAATGAGAGCTAAGTATGACCATTTCATTATAATACAATACAATACAATACAATACAATATTCTTTATTGTTAATTCGTCAAGAATTACAATAGTGTCAATACAATAGTGAATTGTACATGTTAATTTTCATAAAATTCCTTTATTGAGTAGAAGGGTCTTGCGATTAGCCACTTCTTCAACTCCTGGTGTAGCCTGTTGCCAGTCAGGTCTCTCAGGTAGTCAGGTAGATGGTTCCTCAGCTTGCAGCCGGTGTAGGAAGGTTTTTTCTCCCAAAGAGTTGTTCGGTGAACTGGTAGTACAAATTTGGAGCCATGACGGGTGTTGTAGTGGTGCAGGTCTTGGTTTCTTGGGGGTTTGGTTTCTTGGTCATTGATTATTCAGGTTGGCCTAAGCCAACAGTCAAGAAGTGAAGTCGGGGATACCGTTCACAGTCTTAAATTAGTATCTAAGAAGGGGTTAAGTCTACCTAAATTGCAATTAAACCAGTTTGATGGAGATGTAAAAAATTGGATAGGGTTCTGGGGGCAGTTTAAGAAGGTCCATGAGGATCCTGATCTAGAACCTGAGGATAAGTTCCAATACCTCATCCAATCTTTAAAGCCAGGATCATCCCCTAGGGAATTAGTAGAAAGTTTTCCCCCATCTGGAACTAATTATGTAAAGGCCCTAGAACAATTAAAAGCAAGATTTGGTAGGGATGACTTTTTAATAGAAGTATATGTGAGGGAACTGCTCAGTTTAGTGCTCCAACAAGTAACGCTAGGTCCTAATACTAAACTGTGCCGACTGTATGACAAACTAGAAACACAGTTAAGGACACTTGAAACTTTAGGAGTCACTTCAGACAAGTACGCTTCAATGCTGTATCCTCTGGTGGAATCTGCTTTGTCCGAAGAATCATTACGAGCCTGGGAGCGGCATCGTTCAAGTAAGTTACCACACACACCCTCGACTTCTGCATTGTCAGATGATAAATCAAGTAATTTTTTACAAGAACTTCTTGATTTTCTAAAGGCTGAGGTGGAGAGTGAAGAAAGGCTGGCTCATGCTCGTTCGAGTTTTAAATCTGCCACTCCAGGAGAGAACAACAGCAAATGTAGCAGCCAAAAGAGAAGGTCAGCAGTTCACGAACCTCGTCAGGGTCAACCTACGGCAGCTGCTCTATTAACAACTGGTACAGAGGGTCATAAAGGGTCGGTGAGTAACTGCATTTACTGTTCTAAGGGAGGCCATAATGCTCAAGATTGTTCCTCATTTCAACAATTGACATTAAATGAAAGGAAGGAACATCTAACTAAGAAAAACTGCTGCTTTGTATGCTTAAGACAAGGCCACGCAGCAAAAAGATGTAAGGTATTTGTAAAATGCCTCTTCTGTTGTAAAAGGCATTATGGAATCATGTGTAGGGACTTGTATGAAAGTAGATCTAAAATTGATGCTGATAAACCAGATTCTAATCTACAGCAGCAAAGTAGCCCTAAACCTAAGTCAGAGGTTCTCAGCAATTTTGAAAATAGTAAAGGAGAAACTCTATTACAGACTCTTTTAGTTAAGGTTGTGGATGATAAAGGTAAAGAATATTTGGGAAGAGCACTTTTGGATCCAGGTTCCCAGAGATCCTACATTACTAAAGACTGTGTCACCAAATTAGGTCTACAGGAAATAGGTAGCGAAGTAATAAACCATAGTCTGTTTGGCGGAGTAAATCTTAAACAAAAATCTCATAAAAACTACCTAGTGACTCTTCAGAATGTAAATAACTCTTTCAAGATCTCTATTCCTGTGACAGATCAAGAAACAATTTGCAACCACGTTCCTAGGCTTAAGAGTGAAGAGTACTTTGACATCTTAAAAGAAAAGAACATTATTTTAACTGATGTGGGTGAAAATGTACCAGATGTTAAAATTTTACTTGGTGCAGATGTACTAGTGGATTTGTACACAGGAACTATGCAGAAGATCGATGACAAACTAGTCGCTATCGAAACGTACCTTGGGTGGACCGTGATGGGGAAGCAGCCATGCAGAGGAAGTCACAAAATGTCTCTGCTAACTCTATTTTGCCAGTCTAAACCTGAAATTAAAGATCTATGGAGCTTGGAGACAATCGGAATCAAGGACCCTATTGAAGTGAAGCAGAGAGACTCCATTGATGCAGAAGTATTTCAACATTTTAAAGAAAATAAGAGTGAATGTTGAGAATAGGTACGAAGTATGTTTGCCATGGTTGGAGGGTCATCCTGAACTTCTAGACAATCATGAAATTGCAGAGAGACGTTTGATGTCATCAACTAGAAGATTAAATACCCTTAACAAATTCAACGACTATGATAAAGTCTTCAAAGAATGGTTAGAAGAAGGGATTATAGAAAATGTTCCAGAATCAGCAGAGTCAACAAAGGTACATTACCTGCTGCATCACCCAGTCATAAAAGAGAGTAGTTTAACTACTAAAATACGTCCAGTGTTTGATGGGTCTACAAAGAAGAGAAGAGGTAATTCTTTAAACAAATGTTTTGCTCCAGGTCCAACATTGGTAAATTTAATTCCATTTTGTGTAATGAAATCCAGGAAGCAGTTGGATCGGAAAACCATGAAACATACATTGGAGATCAATCAAATATCCTGGAAGTTTGATCCTCCGAGCACCCCATGGTGGGGAAGTATGTGGAAACAACTTGAGAGAATGATGAAAACATCGAAGAGATCAAGATTTAAGAAAAGGTATCTTGCAATGCTTGTACATGTTGAAACACAAGATAATTCCTCTTCCTCAACCTCTACAGAAACAAGAAGAGGGAAGAAGATCAAAATTCCCTTGGAAAATGGATTTGTGAACTAAAAAAAATATGTAAATAGTTTTGTTTGAAATTTTGATAGTGTAAAACAAAATTCCAAGGTGGGGAGGATGTTGGAAATCGAGTTATATTTTATATAGTACAAATTCAATAATGATCAACATCAAATATAATAATTTGTTAGTCTTTGTTTTTATGAACAGATGGTTTATTTTAATTTATTCAAACAATTGAGAAGAGTTGTGTTAAGAATTTTAAAAGTGATCAAGAACATAACAATTTAGTTACAGTAAAGAGAAATGTTATGAAATATTTGTTCTTTATCAGAATTAAATCAGTTCTTTATTAGATAATATTTTGTAAAAGTTCTTTATTTCACACGAGTTCTAACAGTAATGTTATTGTCAGGTTTGTTGTAATTATCTGAATGTGCGTGCATGGATAGATAATAATATGCCTAAAACTATCTTTTGCGTATATACATATTTTCTATAATTTTTAACAGAGTTGTGTTTTCTCAAAGATATAGATTTTTCCTACAGTCACCCGACAAAGTTGGCTTCCTTGTACTGTTCATAGTACAGAAAGCTGCTAATTGCTGCATATTTATATTTTGCCGTACGGTTTATACTTTGTCGTACGGTTTATACTTTGGCGCACATCAGGATTCCAACGAAACAACACAAAACAGCGTGGTTCTATTACGCACGTAATCCGTATACGCTTGGAAATAGGTTGGCAACACTTAAAGATAATAATACTATGAGCAGCTGATTGACTATTATAACTACGATTTAACCTGTCATTTCGTGTTTATAGTTTATGTTCTCTTTTCGGTATTTATAAACTTTCTGTACTTTTCTTTTAAACATTTTTAAAACATTCCTACGATCTTAATAAACAACAAAATACCTTTAAAGCATTTTTTAGACGCAGAAACCACTGCAAATTACAAAAATATACGGAACTATTTTCTCTAGTCGCGGAGCACAT